ATATATATATATATATATTATCAAACCTAATTGATGTTAAATAAATATATATAAAAGAAATCAGATAAAAAAAATCCAACAATACTATAAATATAGTGAAATACATGAAAAATATATTTCATGAGAAAAAAATATAATAATAAATTTTGAGTTATCTGTTGGACTAATTTTTACATCATTTTCATGATGTTTATAATTTTTTTTAGAACATCGATTGAGTTTAATAAATTTAAATAATTTAATTTAATAAAATAATTTTTTTGCCTTAAATCAATTAAAATATAATTTAAAATAATTTTTCAAAATTAAAAAGTAATATTTGTTTTAAGAAAATCAAATTAATTCAACTTAAAATATATATATATATATAATAAAAATAAATATTAAAATAAGATAAAAATCAAAAATATAATTTTACATTTTTTTAAAAAGTAGTTAAAAATTATACAAATATTAGGACACTTCTTCATCTTTACACAGTCTATTTTTTAAATAAGAAAAATGCTAGTTTCATAATAATGATAAATTTGGCTAAAAGCAGTCAAAGAATTAGTTTCCTTAATTCAACGGTTAAGATTTGAATATCTGTTAAAAAAATATTAATATTTAATGAGTAATTTTGTTTCAAATAGTTTAAAGAAATATATATATATGACCAAATTTCAAATCTTAACTCTTACACATAAATAAAAATAAAAATAAAAAAGATTTTATTTATTTAATATTTATCAAATTTTTAAAGGAAATTGTTCATATTCGACCAGAAATATTCTTTGATAATAAAAAAAACATGTGAGAAATAAAAAATAATATTAAATATATAAATACATTTTTTGTTATGTAGGTGGATAAATATATTCAGTTATAAATTATAAATAAACACATAAATATTAACATTTCTATGTGTCAATTAATTACACAATAAAAACTATTTTTTTATTTAATAAAAATGGTTAATTCAAATCCAATTGTCTCAATCAAGTGAATGTTATTAAATGGTGATGTGCTTTAAACGATGTTATTAAGTGAGTGTTAAAAACTTTGAGAAATGTGCAGGATCAAGATGTCACAAAGAATATTTTTATAGAATTTCATACAAATATTTTAATTATTAATATAATTACAATTCACAAGTTAAAATCAATAAAAAAAAAAATACAATACAATACATTGCGTAAATACTAATGATATGAAACATGTTTTCATGGTTACTTTATAATAATTATTTTAATATAATAATTTTTATCAGATCTTAAAAAATTAATGCTAAAAATATTTAGATTTTTTGACAATGTAAAATATAAAAACTAAAGTCACAAAAAATAACATTTTATACAAATATTTTGGAATGTAAAGTGAACTGTAATAAACATATAAGTTAAATCACCTATGTATATGTGATATGTCAAAAGCATTTGAAATAAAGCATTTTAAAAATAAAATAAAAATCGCTAGAAGGAGGGCTTGAACCTCCGACCTTGTGGTTAACAGCCACACGCTCTAACCAACTGAGCTATTCCAGCATATGGTATAATGTATACTAAAGTAAAATAAAAACATTGTTGTTATGAATCATAATATCTGCAACTATATGCACATTTTTAGACTCCTATCAAAATTTGGTCCCACCCAGAAGCATATAAGATAAATATAAATATATAAATATATTACTAATTGTTGGTGAATCCGAATCCCTCAAGTGAATTATGATGGGCAAGGAAGATATTTATACGAAGATGGAAGAATATATTTCTATGGAAAACCTGCTAACGAAAAGGAAATAGAATTTGGAGAGCCTACCCCTTTATTTTAGGTAACCATTGAAGCTCCATCTTAACTATTGATGCTTTATGAGTTAAGAAATCAATTAGATTAGTTTGCATAATTGCATGAAGTGAATCCAACACGTGTAGCATATGCACTATAGAATGCATGTGTAGCAGAGATTCAAAGGAATTTGGATCATTTCCTATAATATTCTCTCTCCAGTCTCTTTCTAACAATATTAATGACCATTGAATATATTCAATGGCTCAAATTTAATCTTATAATTAATATAACTTCTTAAATAATTTTATAAGATTAAATTTGAGTCATTAGATATATCTAATGATCAATAATAATGTTGGAGAGAGGCTGGAGAGAGAATATTACAGGAGAAGATCCAAATTCGATTCAAACTCTTGGCCCACCTTATTAATGATATGATACACCATCGTAAAAAAGATTAAACTCATGTTTTAAGGAACTTCTAGAGAAAAGTAGAGAGAGTTTTATGTGAAACTTGAGTGAACCTTCTCCCTATTTCTATGTTGAATCCTTCTTCCCTCCTTCCTGTAGCTAATTGGGTTGCTTAATTGAAGATTCGTAGCTTGTGAAGCGAAAGAAAGAAGATTTTGATGATAATGTTAATCACAATGCTAATGCTATCCATGGATATTTGAAAAGAAGGATTCAAGTGGTAAGGGGAGCTTGTGTTGTTTATGGATTGTATGTTGATTTCTAATAATTAAAGTTCATACGGTTGTTGAATTTTTAATTATGAGTGAAGATGAAATGATTAGTATTGAGTCTTTGGTTTTTTATGGTGTTTGTGAGAATTTTGATGATTCTGGGTAATTTATGGCTCCATGTTGTTTTTAATAATAATTTCGTGACGCATATGCAGTATGAATGTAGTGTCACTTTGAAGTGACATGGTAGATCTATAAACATTGCTGGACACTTAGGTTATTTGATTACAGTAGGACTTATTTTGTATATAGTTATATATTTATGTAGTTGTATATATTTGTATATGTTATATATATAATTAAAGAGGGTTTTAATTTCAATTGTTTATTTTTCTATCATGTACAAATATAGTTTTCATGATTATTTATATAAGAGAAGGGTTCAAACAATATTTTACCAATACAGCTAAAGTAATATTTTTATAAATATTTAAATAAAATAGTATTTTCATTATATTATAATATTATATATATATATATATTTATATATTTTCCCCCTTCATTATATCTATTGTTATTGTGATTCAATGCGTGAATGAGTATCCTAACCGATAAAATGAATATGAATTATATATATTATAAGTAATATATAAGTATTAAGTTATTATTTAATTGATATTAATGACAATGAACTAAAAATTATTTTAACATATATTTTAATAAAAAAAATATTTTAAAATCTTATAGTGAATATTATTAAATTGGATACTCTAAATTTTACTATATTTTAATTAAAATTATAGTGTATATATATATTATATAGCCGTAATAATCATCTTAATTATTATAATTATATATTTTATAATTAAAATATAAAATAAAAAATTTCAGCGAGACAAAAAATTGATCCGGTGTTTTTAGCTGAATGCACGTATATATAATATAAATTATTATACATGAGAATGTATAGTTTGCTCCCAAAAATTGCTCAAATTTCATCATCATATTTTATTTTACTCATATTCAGTACTATTGATATTTTTTTATTAGTAAAATAATAACAGCAATAAATTTAAATATAAAAAATTGAATATATTATCCCAGTTTCAGTGTATTACGTCGATTTAGCAATTTATTTAGTACTCTGGTTTTAATTATCATGAGGTTGTTATTGAACATTGCTGAGTGTATCAGATGCATTTAATGTACTGTTTCCATTAAACCTTTAATTTGCTAGCAAATAAACCATGTAGTAAAAGAATACAAAATCAGAAATAATCCTTGTACTTAACGACATTCAACTATGGAAGAAATGAAACGAAATGGAAACTACTGTTACCGGAAATCTGTTGTAGAGCTGATTCGCCAGGTAAGATCGGTGAGCCTCCTTTACTGGTACGTTTGATGCTCCAATATGGGGGTGGTACCTGCAAAAGAAACTCCGATGCTAAAGTTAGGATTTGTATAAATATGAGTCTGGTATATGTAATGCACGTACTTTAGTGTGAATTAGGGTTACTTTGGGCTTTGGGCCTGAGATAAAATATGATTAGATCAGTTATGATCTACTTAAATGCCGAGCTGACGTCGTGTGGCGCGTGCCCGAGGTCATCATGCGCTGTAGTGCCGACTCGCACCACATTCTATAACTTAATTCCACATCACATACACAAAATAGATATGTCCACACAAAATAGTGGTTCATATACCCCTCAAGCAATTCACCATGAATTCACATCTAGATCATCAATTTTACCAAATAATATAACAATAACATTTATAAATTAATATAATACTCAATTGAATCACCTATTTAATAGAATCCTAACTCACTTAGTAAAACCCCCAATTTTTTCAAAACATAACTCATGCACTTTTTTATAATTTCGTTCTCTCTCTTAGACCATCATTTTTACAAATTAATTACATATTCCTAATCTTAAACAATTACAGAATATCTAAACTCAAGTGGATTTGTTGAGACAAACTTAAGAGTAGAAAGAAAGACTCAAAAACTAAAATTAAGGCACATT